CTGCTGAGTTGTAATCAGTGTCCAGAAGTACCTGAGTGTTGTCATCTACATAGATGATTTTCATCAAGTCCTGGGGATACAATACACATGGAAATATTAACTAGGTACAAAATATTAAAGTGAAGCACCTACCTTGGAAACAGGGCTCCTGGCCAACATATACACTTCACTGGCAGTAATGCTGTAATTGGTGGGATCTTTTAGCTAGGAGTAAGCACTCAGCCCCTTCATATTGTAGGATGAAAGTTTCACAGCTGTGTCTTGCAATCACCCTTTGCAAAAGATTACCCTTCAAGCTAGAAACTAACAGCATCTCCCACACAACAGACTAGCCTGGTATTAGTGATTACAATGTAGTAGGGGACACAGCACAAATCTGAAAGACTTCTAGGGATCATTCAAGTCAGCCCATGCCTTTTGAGAAATGACAGAAAAAGCAGGACCTTTTCCGCCATGAGCAAATTGTTGAGAACAGGCAGGTCAGGGCTGCTGTGCCCATGGATCTTCCAACACAACTGAGAACATAAGCAAATGCCCATAAGTAATCACTGTTCTGTATGAGTATCCTCCCTCTTCTATAGATGAAGTGAGTGTAAACTGTTTCTCATTCAATTCTCCCAAACCTCTGCCTCATTTAATGCACCTTTTCCAGACAAATCTTAAAGTGGTTACACATTACAGAGATGGAGAAAAAGAAACAGCTCTCATGAAGCATATGGCATGAGCCATTTTAGAAGAGACTAAGCTTGGTGAATCCTTGGGTGGTTTATGGAAAAAGTAATAGTCCCCAGAGCCATCTCAGACAAACTCTCTTTCCACCTGATACTCCCTTCATGTTTCTTCAGGTTCATACATTTTACCAGACTTGTGCTCTGTTTACAGAGAAGCTTGTGTTGACTTAGAGATCCAAAGAAGTTTCAGCCTTAACTTGGGAATACCTGCACATGAGGAAGAGCAACCCCAAGGGCAAGGAGGTGATCAAAACCTGGGATCTTACATTGCTGAGGATGTTCCGGTGCAGCGCTGTGCCGTGAATGTTGGAGCTCTCTGTGTTCCACAGACGAATGGTGTTGTCAGAGGAGCAGGTGATGAAGGAACCAGGGGGGAGGCATGACTGATTGTTGTCCTTCACCTCCGGATACATCTAAGGGCAGGTAAAATCAATCCCTGAATGAGATTGCCTGGCATCCTAGACACTGGTAGCAAGTTTCAAAACAAAATGAGATAAAAGGGCTGTCCTCTTTGCTTTGTAAAGGTGAGAGCCAGCCAGTTCTCCTAATGAAAACCTGTTTGCAGACCAGAGCTTCATATTCACTTCAAACAAATACTCACTGAGCTTCCCTGAATGTAGAACATCTCCTTAAGAAGCATGCAACAAACCAGCATTCTTTGTTTCTAACAGTTCAAAGAGAGCACCTCAAAGGCCACACAACGACCATGCAACAACCACCTTGCACTGTTTGCAACTTTCAACTACTACTGTCAATTTAGGAAGGAAAGGGTGAGATGCAATTAATAAATAATAACAAAAAGAGTCCTCAACCTCTTCCCGCTTTCCCCTTTCCTGATCCTGTCAGACATATTTCAACATATTAACAACTACATTGTTTCCTATACCTCCTTTCCTTCCCTCCGTTCCCCTGAGGGAAAGCCAACTAGACAAAATAGAAGATGACAGCCACTTGAGGGGCATTACCCTCATTACCAGATGTCCTAGTAAATAGGTTAAGAAGGATCAGAGTTGATATCACTTGTTTCACTCCTTTGACTTTGGAGCACTTGCTCACCACAGACCTCAAACAATTTTTTTTGAGGTCAGCAGTAAACTCTTGTGCATTTTGCGAAAGGAGCCCCTGCATTCAGCTTTGTCCAGTTCTGCTCTTCTCCCACCTCTCACCCTTTAATGGTGAGATTTTTTTTTCCAGTAACACACTGCATCCAACACACTTGGTCAGCCATTGCAGTGCAGCCAAAGAATTGTTCCCAGCTCCAACTCAAGCCCCGTAGCAACCACACTAACCACAGGAAGAAATCTGAGTCAATTCTTTCTCTCTGCAGTGTGTTTGCATTCAAATTTGGCAGCTCTTCAGGTGACTTCCTCAGCTGCAACTCACGATCCAACACTTGTGTCTGCAGACAACGTACCTCAATGTTCCACACGCAGGAAGAGTGGTACAAAGCGGAGTACACCTTGCCCACTTTCTTCGGGTCTTTGACATCCCACACATACAGGCTGTGGTCATTGTATACACAGGAAAGCCACTGGTTGGTGGGGTCAAATGTCAAGGCAATTGTGTCCGGGTACTTTGCATCAGCCATACCAGAGAAAAGACGACTGCACAAAGAGAGAACAACAGCCTGGTTAACTTGCACTCTCTTGGAGTCAGAGCAAGGAGGTGAAGCATGAGAGCTCAGCTTCTCCACAGGGCACTGGTGAGGTGAACAATACTCTGTAGCATATATAGGTAGAGAGAGTAGCTGGCTGGGAAGACCTGTCTTTTGAACAACTAGAGTCCCAAAAGAAGTCTGAAAGTCCCATGGCAAAAGTCATTCTCCTTACCATGCAACCCAGAGTCCCATCACAGACAGGCAACTGACTTTCCCTGAAGAAGGACCAAACAGGACACTCGATCATCATGGGAGCTCATCATCATTTACCCCTGCATAACCAGGTGGTAAAATCCAAGTCAAATAATCTCAAAACAAAGGGGAAGTAGGATCACCTTTTGGTGGGTACCTTGTTTTGTTTACTGATAGCAGGAACTGCTCTTGTGTGTGACCAAGCAGAAGAGTACTGCACTCAAAAGACAGGAGCACACCAGCACAAGGGAAAAAGGAATGATTCATTTCAGCGGCTGCTTGTCTGACATGCCTCTTTTCCATCCCTGCCCCACACACAGGCCAGCTTGGTGCTGCTTGCAGCAGCTCATGAGATGGGAAACTGCAGGTGGATACAGTCCTTTCTAGATAGGCAAGCTGTCTGATGCAAACTTAAAACCAGAGGAATTCTGCAGAACAAAGAAACATCCCATTCCCCAGGTTAGACCAAGATCATGCCATGTGAACCCCGTATCTCCTCTACAGGAGTCCTCTGTTAAGTCCTGCTGCCATGCACATAAAGAAGGAGCTGCTCTCTTGACCTGAGGTGAACAGAGCCATCCCACAATGCTGCTAATGGTATTAAATAAGGTAATTATAGCCAGAGTGGCAGGGTGTTGAGAACAGGTAACTTAAAAAGACTGATGGAGATGCAGGGGTGAGGGCCAAAGCGCATGTAGCACACCCAACAATTGAAGCTTCTGCTTCTGCACATGCAAAGCTTTGAGGGCTAGAAGAGTGCAGCCCAGATCCTATTGAAAAATCAAGTCATTGATACAGTTGTGGGCAGTTCATTGTGGGCAACTGGCATCCCACAGAGAGGCTCTGGCATGCATGGGAATAAGGAGTCCTGTGTTTTCAAGCTTCTTTGGAAGTAATAAAAAAAAAATTGTTGTTAAGATTGTAATCAGCACTACAACTGCATGTTTAAGAATCACATGAATACTTCTGCTCAACTGATGCATGACAGCAGCAGAGAGTATTTTTAAAGGGTCCATGTATGTCCATGCTTGACTTTAGCACTACCAGAAACTGGTAACATTTCGAATCAAGAGAGTTCCTTTTCCAGCTTCCTTACTGGAATATCATTATCTCCCACAGATCTTCTGGAGGAGGACTATACAATGCACTGTTTGAACCTTTACCTCAGGTTCCCAAGAAAAGTTTAGAAAAAACCTGTTGAGACGCAAGGGGGCGGGGGGGAAAAGCATGTATCTGTAGACATGGGAACTCCAGATATCCAGTGGAATGATGGCTGGTGGATTCATATACCTTTGGATTTCTTTCCCCACTACTGACAGAAGAGAAAGAGGGCAACAGAAGAAGATTGGGAAAGCCTCCAACCAGGACTGGCAAACAGCAACACATGAAGGGTTTTCTCTAGCATAAGCCTCTGCAAGCTGGCAGACAGAACTATACGGAAATCACATTACCCATCTCAGAAGGTGAGAAATAGAGAGCCAAGGCAGAAGATACTGGACCAAGGTAGGAAACAAGACAACAGAATGCACAAAATTGAGGGAGAAGAAAGACTACAGACAATAGTAGGAGATTTGGGTCTATAAAAGATTGCAAGGGAGCCTTTGAAAAAGTGCCCCACGAGAGCCTGGGCACCTCTTAGCAACATCATTATATTGCTATGGAGGAGAGTCTTCAGCCCTTACCAGTGATAAGCAAAGGATGTGCCATGGTACAGGAACAACTGAAGTGTACCACAGCATCTTGTGCCCTCTGCCTGCTTGCTCATAGCAACCAATGTCAAAAGGCCACCAGACCCAAGCAATCCCAGGGAGGTGAGGAGCAAGATATGCTGTGTAGCCCAGCAACAAGCTTTGGGCTGTAGCCCAGCCACGCAAGGCAAGGTTGCAACAGCTCAGAGAGATCTGCAACAGGCTGCCACTTTAAATACATAAAAAGAGCACACTCCAGACAGCAAAGATCTGGGGAACATTTCTAACCCCCACAAGCCTCCCTTGCTCCCTTCCACCCTCTCCACGGTACCTGGCCTCAGTCACACTCGCAATGTCTGTTCCCAGGAAGTGCGGCTTCGGCAGTGTAGTGACAAAGTGAAGGTTCAGAGGGTTAAAAATCCGCACGGTGCCGTCAGCGCAGCCACAGAAGATGTAGTCATGATTCACAGAGATGCAGTTTGCCACAGTGGTCTGAGGAGGACACAGCACACAAGAAGGTGAATAAGCAATGCACTCTTACTTCAAAGGCCACCAGACACACGACAGGGAGAATAGCAAATTGACAGACAAAGGAGTCATGGTCAGAAGAGCTGAAGTGAAGTGAAGTCAAGCCCTGGGAGTAAGGAAAAGTCTAAAAATCCAATTTTCCTTTCTGAGGAGCTTCCCAGCCAAGGTCCATTGCAGATTCCAACTGGTTAAGGAAAAAGCCCAGTTCCTCTGCCACCCACTGTGGTGGGAGGTCAGCAGAGCTACACATTTGCTCCAGCTGAGTCTTACTCTGAACATTGGTTTTTGTTCCTCTGTGACATTCAGCACCACTGGCAGGCAAGCAGCACCTCACCCTGTACTAGCACACCAATACATTACCTGTCACAAGGGGATAAGAAAAGAAAAAAAATTTATTTTCTTCCCCCTCCCACTGGGATCTGTACAAATGGCAGAAAATGGTACAAAATGGAGCGTGGTGACAAGGGGATAGGTTCAATGCAAAACTCTTTTCCAACTTACTGTGAAGCTGTCTGTATTCTGAGCAAGAGTGAAAGGCAGTTTTTAGAGAGGAAAGGAAAGAAAAGAAGAAGCATTTCACTCGAGTGAAAGCGTGGAAAGATTTTTCCCTTGATTTTAATACAATGGATCCTTTCAGGTGGGCATCTCACATTCAGTTGAAAGGAAAATAAGCACAATCAAATTCTTAACTATGGGCCAACCTGGCAGTTTAGAATAGCCAAACCAACTAGCACCTTGGGAACCCGCATTTGAGATGCACAAGCGAAGTAAGACTGCAGAGTGGGTAGAAATCAGAATCCTTCTAAAACTCCTACTTGTCCAGGCCAAGCCAGGAGGGACAACACAGAGGTTGCCAAAGTTACATCAGGACACTGCTTTGCCAGAAGGGCAATAGTTGTAACACTGAGGCTTGAGAATGAAAGAGCCTCAGTGATTAATAAAATCCCTTTGCCAGGAAGCAACACTATTTTTGCCTGGCCTTCGAGAGTAAATCACAAAGTGGCAGAGGCCTAATGACTTTCACTGCTGGTGGTCAGCTTGCGCTCTCTGAGTGCCCTTATTATTTGTTGTTCCTGGTCTGCTTCAGCAGGCACAAATACTGCAGGAGAGGAGGATGTAAAACTCACCCTCAGCTCCACCCACTTGTCTAGCAGCCTTTTTTCATTGAATTCACAGAGCAGGCCTGAGGATGTGATACAGAAGGTGCTGTCAGCTTTTTTGCCCCTTCCACACGCCACATCTGCAAAGAAGTTGTTCCTCAGTTCTCCAAGCAATCCCGAGCGACCTAGCAAGGGGACTGTGGCATTGACCTACCAATAAAAAAAAGTTTGTTAGAAACAGAACGAGGCACTCCAGACAGACAGACGTATTTTAGAACATCAACTCTTGAGTGCTGAAGTGCCTCAAAGAAAGAGTGAGCTGCAAACAGCCTACAAGAAAAGGTAGTGACACGTTTGACTTGCTGCAGACCCATTGGTTGCACAATGTATTGAGACCATCAGTATTAGCACGTCAGTGGAACAAGAACAGTATTAGTGCCACCAAAACACATGACCCAGAGATAGCAGATCAATCACTGGAAGAACAACCCTTCCATGGCCAATCTGTGATTTATACCAAATGCCAAAGCAGGGTTCAAGCATGAAGTAGTAACACCTGCTCATGAGCACACAGAAAAATTACTGTACGTGGATTCTGTCCCCCAAAGAAGAATCAAACAGGTAAAAGTTTAAACACTTTAGTTGGTGCTTCAAAATAACACTCACAACCTTCTGCAGTGCTCATACCAACATCAAAGAGCTCTCCCCACTTCTGTGCTCCACGTTGTTCAATGACTGCAGCTCTTTTCTAGTTTTTTTGTCCTTCAGTATATGTGACTACTGAAGAACAAGCATGCTGCTATACAACTCCAGGAGCCATGCCCCTACCTCAGCGCAGGATAAGACAAGCTTTTGGTGCCTTTTGGTGCTACCAGCCCATGGGGAGACTGAGACTTGAGAGCCAGGGGTGGAGGGCTATCCTTGAATCCCAGCAAAATCAAAGAGTTCCCACTTCCCACAGCTCACTGGGGCAAAATCCACCATGCCGTAAGATGGAAATGCCTGTTCACAGCTTGGCCTTGATGCGCCTTCTCTCACCTTGGAGGTTTTGCTGTCATCCAGGTACCAGAACTTGATGTGTCGATTTCCAGCAGTGACAAAGTAACTGCAGTCCTCTGAGAATGACACAGCTGTCACTTTACTTGAGACTTTGTTGGCTGCCACTACAATGTTTTTCTGGAAACATAATTGTTTAGATAGCTTAATTTCTTTGCTCAGAAGCGAAAGGAAACCCATTTCAATTACAGGCACATATCCAGTACAAACTCTGCAGCAGGGAAAAGATGAGGCCCAAACTATTCCCCATTCATCCCTGAATACAATCTCCCCAGCATTAGCTGGGAGCATTGATCTGGCAGATAGTACAACTCACATTTACATTCAATTCCACTTCCACATTGACTGGGATCTAGAACAAATCAGCAGGCACTAGTGCCTGCAGGAACTTGCTGCCTGAGCCATGACAAATATATTGGTTTCACAATCACCAGGAGCTCAGAGCAAACCCATTTCCCTTTCTAAACAGCAAAAGCATATGTAGGCCAGCACAAGGAGGAGCTCTCCCAGTCTCCAGGCAGCAATGAGGGCAAGGCACTCAAGATGGGGAACAGGTATTTTCCGCAGGGAAAACAGTACTGGTTCCTCCATAAATCCTCTCTTCTCTTTAAAGACATGACGCTTTACCAAAAGACCCAAAACACAAAAAGACCATGCCTGTATCGGAAGGGACAAAGCAAAATCTGGTACACCTCAAATGTGCACCTCAAAACATCAAAGAGTTTGGGAAAGTATAAAGAACATGGCAGGGACAGAAAACACCAATGGACACTGCCCATGCAGAACAGTCAGATGACAGGAGCTCCCTGTACACAATACCAGTGCTCAGTTTTTCTCCTCCTGCTTTTCCCCAGGGATTGGTAGAAGTGAGAATAAAAAAAGTTTTCCCCTCTGCCTGTGGTGGGTTTTCAACCATGCAGCACATGGTTGACAACAGTGCACCACTTTTTACTCTCGCTCTGTTTCCTTTACCCTTTCTTTTAAGGACTTGGTTGCTCCCAGTCTTCCCAACGCAATGCCCTCAGCACACAAAACACATCACTCCAAGGGCCCCATCAGACTGTGTGCTGACAGAAGTGAAGAAACTGGCAATAGAGGAGTCTAGGCTGCTGCGCCATCACCACGGAGGACCCCCCAACCCAGACTGGGGGAAAAGCAAGGGGGGCTCCCATTAACATAACTTCTTTCAAGACAGCACACAGAGAAAGGCCTAGGGCCCTTGCAGACCTCAACATCTGGATCATTGCTGTGGCCTTTCTTTAGGGAAGCAAGGAGACCCTACACACAACAGGGCCTTGCTTTTCCATCACAGCCAAATGACTGACCAAGTCTCCCAGCCAGGAAAAACAGGGAAACCAAAGCAGCAGCACAGTGGACAGAAGAAGGGTTGTGGTTAAAAGTGCAGGAAAGTGCTTCAGGAGACCTCTTTTCACATCTTGGTCTCTTACTCTTCTTTGACTTCGGTCAGGCAAAGTCTCTCTAGTTTTGGTACCCAGCTTGCAAAATAGAGGCTAGCTGGACCTCCCGAGAGTCACAGTCCAGAGCATATGCTTAGAGCATGTGTTCTTCAGCACAGAAGAGTGAGATAATCCTTACCTCACAGGCTCTCATGCACATAATTATAAATAAGATTGCAGTGAACAGAAAAACCTGCATAAGCAAGGGAAAACAAAGCTACTTATACTCAGACACACACATGCCATGCATTATGGCCATCTCCAAGTCACTACTTTCGTTCATATAACTAGAAAGAACCAAAAGGCTGAGCACTCAATTTTCAACATTGACAAACACACTTAGGTTTTAGCACTACAGAGTTCAGCTATACAAAAAAATAGCAGGTCAAACTTCAGCTCATGCAGGAGAGAACTAAAAGACTAATTACAGCACAGGAAATGTGGTGAAGAGAGTAATATACTAAACGAGCACAGACTTACAAGCTGCATCACATGAGATTTAAACAGATGCATTTAAGTTTTTTTTAAATCGCATCTTTTAGAGAGGGTTACAGCACCCGAAGAGGTAGCAGTAGCTGCATAAGTGCTTATCATTTATTAATATAGAAGACTCCAAGCCTACTGACAATAAATGTTTCTTTTTTTATATACAAACAGCACACATTTAAATGTTTTCTAGAGGATGACACACGTTTTGTTTCCACAAAGTGCTGTCTGAATCCAGTGGCAGACAGAGTGACTTCCATCAGCTTTCACCAACCATGCTTTCTCCATGTTCCCTTTCTCAATCAGCAAGGATGGGGTTAGGAGTATCACAAACCCTCACACAACAAAAATGAAACAAGCCAAGAGCATCCACTACACCACAAAAGAAATGCCAGGCTGATGAGAGTTTCCTTCCTCAACCTCATAAATCAGTTTTTAATAGGCCTCTAAAAAAGCACAAGACTTTGACAAGGTCTCAAAGTCCAGGCTTTTCTGGCTGGACAGCAAGATGTCACACGTCTCCAAGTATAGAGAATATCCCTTCACTGAAGTGACTTAGACCTTCCCTAAGGGACCATATCTCTCTCTCATGTCCAAACTTGTCTGTGTCTATGAATGTCAAAAACAAACAACAACAGAATAATAATAATAATTTAAAAAAAAAAAAAAAGCAGAAAGCAAGATGGAACTGAAATAGTTTACAGACAGACTGTCCACTCTTTTTAATTTAGCAACACCCTGTGGTCCACCCAATATCCCAGAGAACTTACCTTCCATGACCACACATTGACAATCATGTCATGCTGGTACCCCACTGAAACAATGTACTTAGAGCTGGGGGAGAAGGCCACGCAGGCCACGCCATACTTGTGCTCCTGGAGCTCAGCCACCTGGGTCCGCTCCGCCACATCCCATACCCGAACTGCTGGCATGTGTCCGCTCTGGAGGGGATAAGAACAGACACAGAACAAGAAACGTAACCCCCGAGGTCAGTTCTGACAGACTGAAGCACGCAAATACGTGGGTGCTTGGAAAAAGATGTCTAGATGGTGCATTCACAATAGGGGTAGAGGTTAGACCTCAGTTCCTTCAACTCTTGAAAGCCAAGGTTGAGACTGACAACCTAAGGAGTATATGCATTTCAACAGGTATCTGAAAGAATTAATACAATCTCCCCTGCTTTAACCTTTTCTTATGCTATTCACAAACCAGCCAGAGACTAGAACAATACTTTTGATGCACATCCCTGATCTTTGCAATGGGAACTCACAGCTAGCTCACAAAAAGGATTATAGTAGGTTGTATCTCTGGACACAGTGAACCAAAAGGCCCTCACATCCTCTGCTCCTAACATAACATGGACATCCGAGATCTCAAGCCAGGTCATGCTGTACAAAAACATGACATGACTGTTGTGATAACTACCACACACCATTCGAGGGAGGCCTCTGAGAGACTAGCAGCATCATTTCTGTCACAAAGGTAACACACAGATGCATGCTGCCTGAAGGAGTATGGGCAGGGTACTGTCAGAGAAAAAGACATTGAGGGAACAGAGCCTCTGGTTTTACACTTGTTCTCCAGAGAAAGAGAAGGCCATAGACTTCAGAAAGGCCAATTCAGCCAGCACCTCCTTTCAGACAACTCTATTCTTTTGTTTAATTGTTTGTTGTTAAACCAAATTAAAACAAGGTGCACAAGATAAGCTGAAATGCTGGCCAAAAATGAGCCTGATGGGAAAATCCTACTCAAGAGCCTGCTCATGATTTCATATTGAAGTCTGTCAAAACAATAGCTTGCAAGATAACATATCCATGGCAACATGGCAAAATGGTACCTTGTCTGATCAGTTTTAAGTAAGTCATTTGATTGTGTGGGAGAGACAAGTCTGATCACAAGGAGAACTCAAAGTTTTAAAAACTCAGAACTGTGCATGTTTTAATTGTCTTGTTCAAAAGCTTTGCCAAGCAACTGCTTGTGGCCTGGAAAAACACCGTGGTCAGATTTTACTGCAGTTGGTACAGTTCTCTCTCCGGAACACTGGAACAGGTTGCCCAGAGAGGTAGTGGAGGCCCCATCCCTGGAAACATTCAAGGTCAGGTTGAATGGGGCTCTGAGCAGCCTGATCTAGTTAGAGATGTCCCTGCTCACTGCAGGGGAGTTGGGCTAGATGACCTCTAAAGGTCCCTTCCAACCCAAAGCATTCTATGATTCTCTTGCAAGGCAGAGCTGAGGTCTCAAAGTGGCTGGCAAGATGTTACAATGAGCTGAATCAGCTGCTCTTCAAAGCAACTACGGTACTTAAACACATGCATACATATGTATGTATATACATACATATATATATTACCCAGCATCTTAGCACATACCCCAAGACCTTAACAAACTGAATTCGTATTTCATAATTTAAGAAATGTCTGTGTGATCCCCATGGATGAAGAATCTATGCCTCTATGGCAAGAAAGAAAAAAATAAAAATAAAAAAAAGAAAGAAAAAAATCCATTTTCTTCTGGATTTGAAATACACAAAAGACATTTAATATGTATGGTGGCCAAGACTAACCTACATGCTCTCCTTCCTGAAAAGCCAGCCATGAAGAAAACTAAGGTGTTGCTAGGCGGAATTAGCATGAGGCTGCTAAAAGCGAGCTTGACAAAGTGAACTCAGAAAGCATTTCCATATAGGACCACCCAGAGGACAGAGGCTGAACTAAGACGAGACTGCTGACACCGGCAGGGGACACTGCTACACCAAGTAATAACTCAAATGTCAGACACGTGGGAGGATACCGAAAAGAGAAATGGTCTTACAACAGGGCAAGAGGAGACATGTTTTGCAACAAGGCAAAAAAAAGCTTTCAAGTATAACTGGAAAGGGTTTGGTTTTTGGGTTTTTTTTTTGTTAAATCTGAACTTGCCATTTACCCCAATGAAGCTTCAAACTCTAAAGTTTGAGTTGTCAGTAAGAAAAATACCCACTTCACTTTTCACCACTTTTCCTACCCCACATGAAAAGAATAGAGCACCAGAGATTTAAGAAAAAAAAAAAGAAAAAAAAAGAAGCCACCAGAATCATCAGAACTGAACACCAGGGAGGAAAAAATATACATATATATATTACATATATTATAATTTTAACATAAAGGGGTTTTATTACATTTATTACATTTAGCCTTCTAGAGTGTAAGGAGGCATTAAACCAAATTACAGCTATAAAACCTCATGCTTTCACTGAAAAGTTAGTAACAACAACAATCTCTGATGCTCTGATGGAAAATTTGTGCTTACTTTTTCTGTGTCAAGGTAGCCTCCATCCCAAAACACTGTTGTTTCTATCCTTAGCCTGATCAATGCAGGATTCAGGCCTAGCTTGGGAGCCACCCAGTGACATGACAGCTGCCATCATGGTGGCTGAACTAGGAACCTCTGGAGTGAGCAGCCTCCATCTTGACAGCTCTGACATAGGGCTGTGACATACTTCTCTGTGGCTGAGGCTCAGGAGGGGACCTGTTTCACACATGCTCCCTCCCCACATCTTACAGAGGCACAGAGACTAGTGGTAAATTACCATTAATCACACACAAGAGCAAACTCAGCCCAACCATACAGGGACACAGTCAGCATTTCTGTGGATTTCTAACATCCAGCAATTCCAGCCTCATGACACACAGCCCATGTCTTGAACTTCTAACGCAGAACAGACACACAGTGCATCCTTATTCTCCCCCTTGGGCATGTTTGGAAAGAGGAAGCAATTGTCGCCCCCAGCCAAACTTACAATGCCAAACCACAGGCACCAGCATCTTCTGTCACTATTCTAAAGCTCCGTTCCACATGCACTTTTCACTTTTTCCACAACACTGTTACTGGCTTCAGTTACTTCCCGAAATCCTACAGGGACAATGCTAAACTCAGACCAAGATCAAGGACCATCCAAGTACTCTCCACTGATGCTAGAGTAGAGCCATGCTGTGTGTCCTTCCACTTATTTTCACTCTACCTTCAGCCCACACATGCCACCCCAGAAGATCCATCCCCCAAGCTGATGGGAGACAACATGCTGAAAAACTGCCAGCAGGAGCACCCAGAGCCACCCATAACCCAGCAGGTCCACCCAGAGATGCAACACTGAAATTGATTTTTCTGTGTCAAGGCAGCTCAGTGGCTTGTTTCTTCTAACACCCTCTGTCTGCTTCAAAATGTGATGGACAAGGTGTGCCCTCTCTCACACTTACCTCTCCTGTAACCAAATATTTTCCATCTGGAGAGAAAGCAAGTGCTGTAATTGTTTTCCTAAAACAGAGAAAATTACACTGAGAAACATTTACAACATGTGATTTTGTTTCAATACGTCATGACTGTGGAGTAGGTTGGGACGAACTGCAAAGAGGCTAAAACCACACCTAATAGCCTGACACAATGGTTTTGCTTTACTAGAGGTCTGACACTTGCCATGGGGATTTCCTGCTGCTCAAGTCTCAAACAGTGTGCATACAGCACCAGAAAAGCTCCAAAAGTCGAGGTTCATCCTTGTGCCTTTATTCCAGATGCAGGACCGTGTCCAGTCCTGGCTTCAACAATGAGGTCACAGTTTTAAACGGAGAAAAAAGAAAGTCAGATACCATGGAGTTCTAGTAAGATCTCCTCTATGTCATGCCTGTTAACAGTTCCTCATAGGACCACAATGTTTATGACATGGTACCTTGTCAGCAATAGCACCTCATATTAGAAGGAGCTGGAGTCAAACCAGCAGGCAGCCTCTCCCCAAGGCAGCTCTCACTGAGGGGATTTAGCCTGGAGCAACAGCAGTTCCCGCACTTCACTCAAGCCATAAAAACCTTGAATTCACCTCCCACAGAAAGCAAGCCCACCTGATAGCTTCACTCACCTGGAACTGTTTAGAATATGGTGTTGCTTATTTTTTCTAGGGTTGAACAGCACAACAACACACCTAGATGGAGGAAACAGAAGAACAAAGAGAGTTGACATGACTGTGTGTATAAAGAAAACCGAAGAGCTATCCTTGCTGGCAGAGCAGCAGCAAAAGCAGCCCCAAAAAGCTGTTTCATCCCCTGATCTCACAGACTGAGCTGTGGTTAACCAAAAATCACAAAGAAAAGAGCAGCCCAGTAGGGAATCACAAGTCACTCCCATGTTGAGGAGTACCATGTGCTAGTACCATAAATAATTACCTTTCGAGCATCTGGGAGCCCTGAGCCTCTGATTGCTCAAGCTGGACAGAAAGTTAACCATGAAAGTTTGTGCAACGGCCCTAATGGATTACATCCCCTGCCATAAAAGTGACTGTATGTACTAGGCACCAAACCAGCATGTCTAGAACAGAGTAAGGTCAGAAAGAAGGAAAGTGGGGATCTCTCAGAAAAGCCCTTGGCAGGGAAAGAAGGGGAGGTAGAGGGGCTAGATTTCTGTGCTTGGCTATAACACTAGACAGGACAGAAACTGTTGAGTATACCACAAGAAGTGGCTGGCCAGATGAGAAGTGAGACATATGATGCCAAAAACTATTGACCCAAGGGACATATCTGAATAAACAACTTGCTCAGGGACCTTGCAGAAATCTCTCAGCAAGACGAACTGCAAAAGCAAGCGGTAGTAAACTCCTGGTAAGCAATATAATCATCTCCATTGGGAGCAAAACAGTCGCTGACTGGGAGGGGAGGGAAGGAGAAGAGGCCCCATTTTGCCACTAATCTTGCCCATAGCACATTGACTTGGTGCCTCAGCCCATCACAAGCCTGGGGCAGTCCCAAGTACTCGAGCCTTCCCCACTCTCCACAAACACCCTACACACACAGCAGCATTTGTCTCATAGCAGAGAGCAGTAGCCACTGGTAACAGAAAACACACGACCCTTACTGCCCCCTCCCAAAAGAGTAAGTGTTAAGTGTATAAAAGGAAGGGAAAACTGGCCTTGGGAAGAACAGCAATTGCTCTGCCGACCTTGTGCCCTATGTCTCACTTCACCTCTAAAACAGAAATTGTGATTTTTGCCTTTCCCTCTGCTAGTACACACTGCCAGTGCTTGGACAGACTCAGCTCCTCCTTTGCTGCGGTGCCAGGGGAGTACTGCGGGATGCCCTGGCTCCACTGCCAGCAGCCTTCGCCGTGCTGGGGACTTCACTCACATCACCATCACACTGGGGCTCGCCCGCAACGTGTGCCAGGCTACAGATGTCAGTCGGGGGGAGAAACGCGAGGACACAGAAGTAGAGGAGTTGGTCTGAAGCAGCCAAGCACAAAGGCAAAAGCTGAGGCGTCACAGAAACCCATTGCAGCATCTCACCTACAGACCTCACCAACATTTCAACACAGTGCACACTCACATGCAGGGCTTTAGCCAGGACTAAGCACACCTCGGTGCCATGCTGCTCAGGACAAGAGCCGTGTCCTTCCAGGCCCCTCTCTGTGTCCCCAGCAGCAGGCAGGTTTAGCAGTGCTGCAGGCATCACTCAGGGTTGGCAGGGACCTATGATGTCTCTGGCACCTCCTCACCTAACCCAGGCAGGTGACCTTTCCCTTGATCTGACCGGGCTACCCTGCCAGAAGTGGTGTAAATTTTGAAATGGAAAAGAGAGCAGAAAGGAGGACTGACGCACCAAGACCTTGAGCTCAGAGTTCTTGGCTGAAGTTGTCAGGCTCGATTAACGTTGCTAGCTCAAACCGGACACCATTGGAGGGAACCAAAGCTTTAACCCCCAAAGCACCAACTGCTCACAAGATATGCCCCTGCCCCATTAGACTACTCTCCTCTACCCATGCCCTACCCAGAAGGCCAAGGCAATTAAGGCATCAAATGTCCTTGATAGTTAAGGCAGACAGCCATGGTTGGAGACGCAATCTTGTGGAAGAGCAGGGAAAGTGTAAATAAGCAGTTTTTTCAGACCGGGATTGATCCTTCTGTGCTTTTTACCCTGGGGAACCAATCTGGAGAGTTTCAAGTTAAAGCTATGCTACGTATTTCTGAGGGATTAGTGTAAAGAAGCAGGTGGTTTGTGATCCATTAACAAGTCGGGGGAGGTTAAGCCTCGCAAATCACAAAATATGAAATAGGAAGTTAGCAGATGTGAAAATCTATCTAATCCCAAGCCTCCAGCTAATGAGAAAAGCAAAGCAAAACCCCATTATGTGGAGTTGGATAGGGTTAATGTACCAAAATCTTGCTGAGTTATGACAGGGATGAATTGTGCTCAAAATAATCTTCAAAAAAAAACAAGAATAAAGGAAAAGACATGAAATCTTGGCAAAGACTTCCTTATGCAGCTCTTAAATTTAAGTTACTGTTTTATTGTGAGGAACTCTGCAGAAAAACAGGACTTCAGAGAAGTGAACACAGTCTAAAAACACAGGAAAGATGCAAAAAACAAACCATGGTCTTCAAACCAGGCAAGAAAACAAACCACTTCCTAGAATAGTATAGTGAACCATGAAGGTCCAGGGCTTTGCCATTATTAACTTACACGACAGAGCCTTTGGCCACTTACAGTCATGAATTGTAGCTCAATTGCACTCCAGAGTGGGCTGTCTGCTGGCAGGCTTCCTCCCCGCTTCCCAGGCCTCGGCCAAGTCCAGAGCCCACAGTGAAGGTAAGAGCCACCCAGCTCACACATCAAGGCGGACCGACAAAGAGCCGTACGGCTTCTAGTGCCGTAGCCATCAGAAACACGGATATTTTAACTGTCTTGAGACACCCCTATGCTCAATTCAGTGAGATTGACCCATAATTAAAAAACTCTATCTGGAAGGTGCGAGGTGGGGGAAGAAAGAAGTTCTTCTTACAGTATCTCCTTACTGGTCAGCAAGCATTGATTTATGCCACGAAAAGGTAATTTTAACTCATAGGCTTGGTGAAGTAAGATTGTACGTGGTTATGTTGAGTTGGAAGCTAACAACTAACGTAACCTGCTAATTGGTTATGACCTTCTATACCAATAAAGTCATTTAGCCAGGATAAACTAGTCTTCTAAACTTGCTTTCTTAAATTAGCTGCTACCCAACAAAAGCTACCCCACTGCTATGCTGTCCCATGCTGATTTTCCACCATCACTCTCCTGTCTGCCATACACAAGGACAATGAAAACTCCAGCCAACTCTAAGGACACGTTATCCAGCAGGATGGCAGGCCACAAACCTCAAATCTTACAGTGAGACACAGATACTGTTCTGTGAGTCAGGAGCACCCAACTCTGAAAACTGGCTCCCTCTTAAAATGCTTGGGAAGGTGTCTAGTCCACTCCATCCTAGAGAGCACATCTCCTCAACGAGCAGAAATTAACCATTTCTAGCACTTTAATCTCTTCTGCGTGTTCAGGGTGGCCTCAATTGCCTGCTCAGACACTCGCAGCTCAGCTCAGTGTGGCCCCAGAGTAGCTCCCTCCACTCCATGCAGGCAACAAGTCATTCTTCAGCAGAAACTGCAGTGGTTCCCCAAACAAGGTGGCTCAGAGACCATTAGTACTCTGGGCGTGCTCTGTTTTAGCAAAGGAAATTGGTTTAGCAAAATAAAGGGAATGGAAACACTGAACGGTCAGATCGCTGACCCACCTACTCCACACTGCCTCCAAGTCCAGTAAGGCTACCAAGCCCTCAGGAGACTCAAAGTATCTACTCCCTTCCGTTTATGCTGGCTTTTATCTTACAGCAGTTAAAATAATAAAAATAATTACCATGGAAAATTAATTGCATGCAAGAGCATACACCCATCTATCCATCCTCAGCCTTCGTCTGCTCATTTATAAGACTGCATTCAGCATTTTACAGCCACAGGGATGGAAAGGATGCAAGGGAAGACAGCACTGATGGTTTTGTTCCTAGTTTCTAAATGTGGATGTAGACCAAGCAAAGTACTTCAAACCTGCACTTTTGTAATGGTCACATCACCTCTTCCACCTGCCCCATCCCTTCCCCAAATTGAAGCTTTCAAAACAAATTCAAGTTCTCAAGACACCTTTGTCTGAAGAGACCTTTTTAAATGCTAGTGCCAACATGCAAACTAAGACTAGCTCTAAAAGCACCTCACATAGGACCTACAGAGAGCAACGCTGACCCTGGTGCAGACTAGCTGTTTAGAAGGTAAACATTGTTAGCACCCTTGTTTCAGCACAAACCTACCTCCTCTGCAGCTGCAGGCAGCGCTTGATGACCACAGCACCTTTTTAATCCACAAGTATATTCTGATTTCCAAGACATTTATAGAAACTATTCACTGCTGTATGGATTACTGCTATACAAACCATCTATCAGCCAGCTGAGATCAAGTGTCCTGTTTGTTTGCATGCTGGTTCCTGCAGCATTGGCAATGGCATACATCTTTAAAGGTATTATTTCTAGGTCTATGATGCCACCCTACAACTTTTAAGTACACCTTCCTGATGCAAGCAGCTTTTAAAAACAACTTGGCTGTGGAATCTCTCCTCTTTCTTGTGGCACATTCCCGTAACCTCAAACACAAGGGAAGGACAAAATCAGCTCTCACAGCGATGTCAAAGGTTTTTGCAGACAGCCTGAGCTCTCTCCGTCAGGGAGCCCATTTGAGTCAGCCAACAAGAAAGTGGTGAAAGGTTCCTTGCAGAGCTTTCCAAACCTCCATGAAGGCAAAGCCCTATCTTATACATGCACCATATATGCAGATAAAAAGCTCGTGTTGTTTCAAGGGGGGGGCGAGGGAGGGAGGGAAGTGTCAGAGCAGTTTCCATTGGCTCCAGCAAGAGGAAAAAAACCAAAATATAAAAAAGAAGCAATTTCCCTAAGCTAAATATAGGAACAGGAATGGAGAGGAATCGGACGTATCACATTTACATGAAGCATCTGATTCACTAAGTCAGCAGCAGTGGGTCACTCCATGCAGCTCCCCCCAACCTTTACTTCTGCCTTTTCTCCTACTGGCTTCACTGCTGCTCTTCCCAAACTCCTAGTTCCTGGGCATTTTACTCT